AAATGAGACCTGAAAAAAACGAATGTTTTATGTTTAAGTTTTATTATAATATACTAATTTTTTTTTATTAAAACACTTGTGTAAGAGTTTAAAACAATATCGGAATCTTCATTAGCCGTAGAGAAGCCAAGAGCCAAAGATATTCCTTGTTTGTTTAGTACAATAGCTAGTAAATATAGTAAACTCAGCTTAAGGCTCTGTGAAACGAAGGAATCACAACCCTGGGGATATATTGATACATCAAACACTACTAATTGCCTTAAATTATATGTAGATTATATGCCAGAACTTAAGCTTTATTTGTATCAGCACTCAATTTGTAAAAAGCATTATAACCAAGTTATTTTTACTAATCATTATTATCAGCATCTTTTAGATAATCCTACTTTTAACAATAAGAGATTCTGATCTGATGCTAGCTCTGACAGCCCTACTTTTACCCATGATTTCAATGTTCATGAAGAAATTGATGAATTGTATCTAAACACAGGTTATATGGAAAACTATGAGCATACAATTACGGTATTGCAGCAACAATTGCAAGAACAAGAAAATAGAGAGCTTATTATGATCACGGAATTTCAACGGAATATCGAAGACAAAGAGCGAATGATATCAGAATTGAGGAGACATTTAGAAGAGTGCTATGAAGTTATAGCTTATTTGAAAGGTTTATTTAGTTATGAATTTGATAAGAATCAAAGGCTGGTCGAGCAATGGGATTCTCAGTACTCTAATCGAGATAAGCGTATACAGGTGGTCATCGATATTGTGCTAATTGAATGAAATTTTTTATGAGGATATCGAAGCTTTAATTAAGGATAACAATAGATTTTCTTTAGAAAATCTATTGAATTATACTCCTCATATATGGCTAAGTAAATGCAATCAAGTTCTTGTAAAATTTATTAAAATGTTAACATACAATAATCTCGATACAGGTTCTGAAAGTGCTGAAAAGATTTAAAAAGATCTATAGCCATCAATTTAGTATATGGGTCCAGACATGAAAAATATGTATCAGAAATGAGTCTTGTAGCCTCAGCAATTAAATATTCTATTGCAAGGTCAAAGATGATTATCAATATTGATAATCATATCACAAGCGCAGAGAGTTATTTTTATTTTCAAGCTTGGTTAGACAAATTATCTAGTAAGAAAGAAGCACTACTAGAAGGCCTTTTATTTTTTGCCTTTGACAATAAACAAAGAGGGCAAAAAAATTATCTTGACTGAGGACTTAACACAGTGATATTTCATACTGTCACTAGTTTTATCATCTTTAATATGAATTTGCAAAATTATATTCAACATACTAATAATGCACCTTAGGTATTTAATTCTCTTGATAGGTCGCATTACGAAAGTCTTTTCAATACTACATCTGAAATGCAAGAAGTTATAGATAAAGAATTGCATATTTATCTTTCTAAAATTCTTGGTTTATTGTGTGAAGAAAAATTAAACACAGCTAATAAGATTGATTCTCTTGCATCTAATGTAGGTCTAAATATTCATTGCAGCAAACAATATCCTAGCTGCAAAAAAAAAAACATCGACAATAAAAAACAAGTTTGCCCAGTATGCAAGTTTTGTCTATCTACATTGTCAGAAATGTCAAAGCAATGTGTGGAAGCAGAAGCAGAGGATATAGCAGAACAGTCATTAACTTTTAAACCATATAATACTGAAAAAGATACTTGACCATCTAATATACCAAGAATTAGCATGACTCAAAAAATACGTGCTGATGAAGGGGTTAACGTTTTAGAAATTTTTATATCTGATCCTCTTGATATTAATCCTAATATGACTGAAAATATTGAAAAAATTTTTATTAATATTGAAAAAATTTCAGGAATTAAAGATGGAATATGTAAATGGGTAGTTGTTACATGTGACAGTATTCTATATCATCGGGCAGCAAAAATTAGAGAAAAATATCTGTTGATAATTCTTGTCTCTGAGCAACTGCATGAAGAAATGAACATGCTTTAGGCTTTTGTAGAATTAAATTGATAAACTTATGTTGTATTGAAACATTTTATTTTCTATTTTATAATGTTTTTATTATTATAGAGATATCAACCTCAAGCAATTTGCAATATGCCAGGATATAAAAGCAAAAATCAACTTGCATACTTTAAAAAGTGCCCCGATTATTATAAGTCTTGGGATTCGATCTGCAACATTTATCACCAATCTACATCAGCAAAATTTAAAAGGTGCTATATATCGATAGTAATCCCCTAGATTACAATCGATATACAACCCCCCT